AAAAAAAAAAAAAAAGGACGTGTTCAGAAAATGATATATAGTTCATTGCCATTATGACCCAGGCTCGCTCACATAATATCGGGAGAAATGAAAGGATGTCTCTGGTGTCCAGAGAAAATCCAAGATATTAAACACTTTATAATTAAATGTAAAATTAGTAAAAATTTGGAAAACGGCATACGAATATTTTAAATTCCAAGCACCCCACCCCATAATTCGATGAAATAGTAGTAAAAACACATAATGTTAAGAGTTCCAATTCGATAAGCTGGTACTATGGTTGCATATAAATATAGTATACGAGATTTGGTTCTGGTATACTAACGAAAAATGGTGAACGAGCTCGTTACCAGAACCGGTCTGTCATACATCGTACAAGATCGAATACTAAATAGCATTAGGACATTATTACTGGAACCGAGGCTACATAAGGGAGAAAGGAAATTTTTACAAGATTTAATTAAAAGATAGCTGACAAAGCATTCCATGTCAAAGATATAAAAAAAGAAAAAAAAAACACTTAAATATACATATATTGTATATAGATATAATCAATAATAACTAATTTCCCTATAAAAATTTATTTGATACATGTATATACCTTAATATATAAATATAATAATTATAATTTGGCTTAATAAAAGTGCCTGAGGGCACGGGGGAAAAAAGTATGGGCAGTTAAAATACTGTACCTAAAGGTATAACGATGCCGTAAATATTATTCCCCTCCTAAGTTTTTCACGAGCTTCAGAAAACTTGGACTCCAATTCACTTGTTCCAATGATCTTCGCCGCTGAAATCATTGCGCGCATTAGTTCGTCTAAGCTTCTAAAATTTCTAACAATATTACCTTCAAACATATTTATACGCGCGCAAGTTTCTCTAAACGTTGCATTCTACAGCAAATAAAAGCATTAATGTAAAATAAATAAATAAAAAGTAAACAGCATAAAATGAACTTACATTGCACCAGTGATATACACCCTCCATTAATGCTGGTGAGAAACTCGCTAGATATACGTCTTTATCAATTGGAATATTACATTCTTCAGTTACATCAGCTATAATTTTTGCAGTTTCCTGAACCTTGCGGAACAATACATTATACTCTTGTGGAAGCATGCCTGTTGGTTCACTTGGTATTTCGTCACATACAAAACAACTTAACATAGCAGCAGTCATTGGAACCGATAATTCATTAAATACACCGTTTAATAGTAGTTCCGTTAAAACCAATTCATCACCGGAAGTAAGTTCACATGCAACTCGACCCTTAAATTCAACTATATCGTTTGAAGACAAATATCCCAACCGGCGAAGTAGACGTTTTCGCCTTTTGAGCTCATCAAGATGAAGTATTAATTCAGATTCGCGCAGTTGTTTTTGAATTAATTGAATTCTATCTCGAATTTTCAGTTTCTTCAAATAACTCTCGTAAATTTCAGGAGAGTTTGTGGTTGGATTATGATTTAACTGTGATTTTATTACTTCCAATTTCTATAAATAATTATATGTTAGGCAAATTGAATTTCGTCAAAACAACAACAATATACTCACCTGCAAAATACCGTAAAGCCTTTCATCTTTAATATTAAGGTGTTCTTGAGGATCCATTGGACGGCCATCGGGTTCTTCAGAGATAAGCCTCAAAACGCTTTTATATACGGAGTTTCTTTGTGTGTTTCATGGTTTATGAGCAATGATTGTTTGCATTAAATGAATAATAGCAGTTTAGAGCTAACTGGTTCCGAATTGT